GGTCCTTGACTTACAACCATTCGTTTAATAACTATTCAAAGTTACAACCGCACTGGAAAAAGTGGCTTACAACCATTTTTCACATGTATGACTGTTGCAGCATCCCCATGGTGACATAATCAAAATTGGACACTTGGCAACTGGCATGTATGATTGCAGGGTCCCAAGGTCATGTGATCACCTTTTGCAACTTTCCACCATATGGAAGCCACACTCACTTAACAACCATGTTACTATCTTAACAACAGCAGTGATTCACTTAACAACTGTGGCAAGACAGGTTGTAAAATGGGGCAAAATGCACTTAACAAAATTTTGGCCTCAAGTCAAGGAATACCTGTAATGGATTTGGATTGTTTTATGCAGTTCTCACCATCTCAATTCTGATTATATTTTCTTTAATCATTACAGGTTTGATTCCTTTGCTCATCATATTTCCTTTGATTTCTGTAATTTTTAAACATAAATCTGATTTGCTTATACTTCCCAACTAATTGTTATCCTTCAATTCCTTATTTATTTAGACATACAGTAAGTGATTTCTTGTTTCCTTGTGCTTATATAGATCTCCACATTTTCTTGAACAAATTTTCTTCTGTCTGTGCTGCCTTTTTATTTTCCATCCTTCTCCAACTATTTTCACTATCGGCAAACAGCCATTTTGCTTTTGCTTTTTTGCATTTCTGAATATTTTTTGTTTCATCTTTAAGGATCTCACAAATTTAGAGTGCTTTTGGTGCACAATTTATCATTAAGACTGTTCTTTTAAGTTCCTAGCATAACTCTTTCTCACAGTTCTATACCAGATACTAACTCATTTCATCTCAATTGTTTTTAATCTCATGATGATATTCAGATGCATACATGCTAAATGTGTTTCTGCCAAAAATAAATGGCAATAAAAATAAAACAACTGCTTTTATTCTTCCCTTTTGAATAGGACAATGCAGCCGAATATTTCCCCCACATCTTGGCTCATCACAGATAATCTATGGAAATGGTACCACTATTGGCTCTGTAATTACATTTCGTTGTTCTGAAGAGCATCAGCTGATTGGTCATGGAGTTGTCACTTGCATTTGGAAAGAAAATGCTACACAGTGGACAGGTGACACGCCTTCATGTATACGTAAGTGTTTTTTTTCCAATTCTCCTCTGCCTGCTAAATGATTTGTATAATTTTCAGAGTCTCTTTCTGACATGCAGGCAATCTACACTACTGTAAAAACTGATGATTGATATGTAGGTGATCTATACTACTGTAAAAACTGATGATAGTGGTTGCAGGACAGAAGAGCAGATTTCAGACTTTGCAATTCTATTTCTTTTCCGAGATTGCGGACTGTTACCAAAAAAAGACTTGATGCTGAATAGAAATGCCACAGGGGTTTTCTTAAAGATGAAATTTAATTAAAAATAATGTTACGCTTTCATTTGCTTCATTTTTGTTTCTTTAAGTCTTGCATGACAATTAATTAATTAATTAATTAATTAATTAATTAATTAATTAATATCATCCATCTTCCTATCTGGGATACATATATTTGCTCAACACCTTCCAGCTCAGATAAATGTCCAGTTTTAAATTCTAAATGTGTTGATAAAAAGGGATAGGATTTTCTTAAAAAAAAACAAAAAACAGTTAGGCTATTGTTTATAACTCCACGCTAGCAAAGTAAGTCAGACTGCAGCCTTTTTAAAATTGTGTGTAAGCCTATGTTCCTGTCAGTTTCCTCGAAAGTAGGTGTCAGCATCATAAAAACCACAAAAATCACACAACAGTTTAAAAACTATTATTACATTTCTCATTGGCTTTGGTGGATTATAAGCCGTTCAGTCAGTGGGCTGCACCTAACTCTATGAAAGTTAATGTCTTAAGAAGTATGTTAATCTTCCAAATGCTACTACAGCTTTTTCTGCTTTTCCTCCAACATAACCCAGTTAATCAAGAGCATTCAAATAAATTCTTCAATTATGCCATTCTTTGAGATTTTAATAGGATGATAAACAAACAAATAATAATAAATAATAAATCGCTCAGCCAAGATGGCGTTGACGTTGGCTGCCTCGGTGAAATGCTCTCTAGTGATTTCTTTATTCCTTATTATTATCTGCAATTCACTATGGATTTCATACTCACGAGACCATCTGCTAAGAATTAGGCAATGTTTCCTTAAGGAGCAGCTTTCTGATTCCCCACCCCCACCTGTCTTTGCAAACGCGGAGGAGATTCTAACCAATTCCCCGATGCTATGGATTACAACAAAGAAAGCAAAGAAGTGACCACGCCGGAAGAGGAGATGAGGTAAACGAGGGGGAATTTTAAACGCTAAGGAATAGAGGGGAAAAAACTCCTCTCCCTTCAATCTTTCTGACTAATTTATGCTCACTGGCTAACAAGATGGATGAAATTCATCTCTTAAATAGATGGAATTCTGATTTTCATAATTCAGCTGTTCTTTGTTTTACTGAAACCTGGCTTAATCCACAAATTCATGGGGACAACACCATATATATCCCAGGATTTCAGACATTTAGATCAGACAGAATTGAAGAGACATCAGGTAAAACAAAGGGTGGAGGATTATGTTTATATATCAACAACAGCTGGTCTCAGGATATAACTATAATATATAAGTTTTGTGATGAAAACTTAGAGTCTTTACACATCAACTGCAAGCCATTTTACTCTCCACGTGAGTTGTCCTCATTTCTCCTAATAGCTGTGTATGTTCCTCCACAAGCCTGTGTAAACAAGGCATTACGAACTCTTGCTGATCAAATTATGGAAGCTGAAGCCAAACACCCAGGTTCCCTTCCCATCATTTTAGGAGATTTCAATCAAGCAAATTTAAGGAAAGAGCTCCCAAAATATTTCCATGTAAATATTGTAAATTGTCCCACCAGAGGCAAAAATACTTTAGACCACTGCTACACAACAGTAAACGATGCTTATAGGTCTTTACCACGAACAGCTGTGGGACACTGACCACTGCATGATTCACCTTGTACCTGCCTACAGACAAAGACTTAAAACCATTAAACCAACAATTAAATCAGTGACGCCTTGATTGGATGAGACAAAGCTGAAACTCCAGGCCTGCCTTGATTGCACTGATTGGAATGTTTTTGAAGATGCCTCTGCAGACCTAGATGAGCTCACAGATACTGTAACCTCATATGTTAGCTTCTGCGAAGACTTATGTGTACCAACAAGGAACCTGCAAATATATAACAATAAACCTTGGTTTACAGCTAAACTTAAGCAGCTACGTCGTTCCAAAGAGGAAGCCTACAGAAAAGGTGACAGAATGCTATACAACCAGGCCAGAAACATATTAACAAGAGAGATCAGAGCAGCAAAAAGAAGCTACTCTGAAAAGTTAAAGAATCAATTCTCAACAAAGGAACCAGCAAACACGTGGAAAACTCTTAAAAACATCACTGGCTTCAGCAAACCTCCTTCCCAGGCAGAAGGAAATCAACAACTAGCAGATGACCTGAATGTGTTTTACTGCAGGTTTGAAAAGAAACTACAGCCACCTATCTCCACAACCCACATCTCAAACACACCAACAACAGCCAAGCTTCCTACAACTGTCCCCAATTCCTTGGGCTCACAACCTCTGGTGATCACAGAAAAAGAAGTGCAAGATCTATTACACAGACAGAAGCCAGGAAAAGCACCAGGGCCAGACAAGATAACTCCTTCTTGCTTAAAAGTCTGTGCTGACCAATTGGCCCCCATCTTCACCCAAATCTTCAGTAGATCACTAGAGATGTGCTATGTTCCTTCCTGCTTCAAACGTTCTACCATCATTCCAGTGCCAAAGAAGCCCTCCATCAAGGAACTGAATGACTACAGACCAGTTGATCTAACATCTGTAGTTATGAAAATCTTTGAAAGGCTTGTGCTGTCCCACCTGAAAACCATCACGGATCCGCTGTTAGATCCCATGCAGTTTGCATACCGAGCAAATAGATTGACAGATGATGCTGTTAACATGGCTCTGCATTATATCCTACAACACCTTGAATCTCCAAATACCTATGCAAGGGTCCTCTTTGTAGACTTCAGTTCAGCATTCAATACCATCATTCCAGACACTCTTCTAAGTAAATTAAACCAACTAGCGGTACCTGAACACACTTGTAAGTGGATCATAAGCTTCCTAACAGACAGGAAGCAGCAGGTGAAGCTAGGCTGAATCACATCCGATACCTGTACAATCAGCACAGGGGGCCCCCAAGGCTGTGTGCTATCTCCACTTCTCTTCTCCCTATATACCAATGACTGCATCTCAAACGATCCATCTGTTAAAATACTGAAGTTTGCTGATGACACAACAGTGATTGGTCTCATTCGAGACAACGATGAATCTGCATACAGACAGGTTATACAACTTGCCTTGTGGTGTAACCGGAACAATCTGGAACTGAACACACTCAAAACCGTAGAAATGGTGGTAGACTTTAGAAGAAACCCTCCTATACTACCACCTCTTACAATACTAGACAACACAGTATCAACAGTAGAGACCTTCAAATTTCTAGGTTCTACTATATCACATGACCTAAAATGGACACCTAACATCAAAAACATCATCAAAAAAGCACAACAAAGAATGATCTTTCTGTGCCAACTCAGAAAGCTCAAAGTGCCCAAGGAGCTGCTGATACAATTCTACAGAATTATTGAGTCTAACATCTGCACCTCTATAACTGTCTGGTTTGGTTCTGCAACCCAACAGGACAGACACAGACTTCAGAGGATAATTAGGACTGCAGAAAAAACAATTACTGCCCACCTGCCTTCAATTGAGGACCTGTATACTGCACGAGTCAAAAAGAGGACTGTGAAAATATTTATAGACCCCTCACATCCTGTTTCAACAGACATAAACTGTTTCAACTCCTTCCCTCAAAATGACGCTATAGAGCACTGCACACCAGAACAACTAGACACAAGGACATTTTTTCCCCGAAAGCCATCACTCTGCAAAACAAATAATTCCCTCAACACCGTTCAACTATTTACAAAGTGTACACTACTATTACTGTTAATCTTCTCACCACTCCTTATGACCCATCCCCTCCCACTTGACTGTTTCCTAGTATGATTTGATTGTACCCTATGACTATCATTAAGTGTTGTACGTTATGATTCTTGATTCTTAATGAATGTACCTTTTCTTTATGTATACTGAGAGTATTTACACCAAGACAAATTCCTTGTGTGTCCAATCATACTTACCCAATGAAGTATTCTATTCTATACCACATTGACATTTTCTTCTCCCTTTTTATCTGTAGTTTCCACTTCATTTGACTATTCTAGAGAGAAAATGTTATGTTAAAAATAAAAAACATATTAAATATGTTTAGAATATTTCCAGGCTATCCTAAAGGACAAGAACTTTCTCAAGGCAGCTTATAGCAATAAAAGTATAAAGAGCATAATAAAAATATTAATAAAGCCCACCAACACTCTGTCACAGTATTAAAACTGAACTCGTATGGAGTTGAAACCAGAACAGAACAATAGAATCCCATTTAGGAAAAGTCTTGAGAAAAACAAATGGGAGTTTAGAGGTTTAGAGAAGAACTGGGAATGAATCAGCCCCAGGGCAGTACATTCCATAGGGTGGTGGGTGGTGCCACTTGCATTAATTGGCTTAACTGCTGTCAAGGAGCAGAAGGTAAGAAGGATTTCCATTCCTGAAAATGGAAGCAGATCAACAGGAGTGAAGGTGAACTTGATCCCAATCAGTTTTAAGGCTTTAAATATTAAAACCAGCATTTGCAGTTGAGTTCAGGACCTCACTGGTAATTATACAACTGACACACTAGAGATGTCGGATGCTCTGACTGCTTTGCTCCCACCAAAGCTATGTTCTACACTAGCTGGAGTTTCAGGTCCATCTTCTGAAGCAATCCTCCAAAAAGAAAGCAAGGTATCTGAGGTTTCTTCCTCCTTCCTTTCCTCTTTTACCAGTGAAGGCAAATTAGCAACAAAAGTATACAAAAGGTCGGAGTGTGCAATCAGTGTTATAGGGCTAAGGCTAGAGTATGGTATGATTGAATCTTGTTATTAAGGCCCATGTACCAGTAGAGAGCCCACTGCCAACATCTCAAGTCACTTGGTCATCTCTACTGGTACATGGGCCTTAATAACAAGATTCAATCATACCATACTCTAGCCGTAGCCCTATAACACTGATTGCGCACTCCGACCTTAATGTGTGTATGCATTTGATTTCTATCGTACCAGTAGCTTCATCATCACCATTCCAGCCATTCTCCATCCTCTGCAGGATGAAGGCATTTTCTGCATGTTCCCAACTGATATGGTCTTGAGCTTTCCTTTCCCAGTTGGGCCCACAATGCTTGCTGATATTGTCACTCTATCTTGTTTTAGGTATCTTTCGTGGATCCTTTTTATCAAGCTGGATCCATTCTATAATTGCTGCAGTTCACTTACCATCAGTTCTTGTTGCTATGTGACCCATCCATTTCCATTTCAATTCTTTTACTCCTATGATGGCGTTGTTAATTTCATTGGTTCTCTTATCCATGTGCAGGTTTTTCTGTCTTGTCTTGTGATGCTGAGCATGTATCTTTCCATGGCTCTTTGTGCTACTTGTAGACACTTTGTGCTACTTTGTAGCTTTTGTATTGATTAGCACTTTGTGCTACTTTGTAGCTTTTGTATTGATTGTGATATTAGTATCCATGTTTTGCTGGTGTATGTTAAAACAGGTAGTGGTGGCTTACAAATACAATAAAAATACAGTGCAAAAACGGACTTCCGGTTTGTCGGCTTCGCGAGCGGCAGGGATTTGCGAAGCTGCGCGATCCCTGCCGCGCTAGCCGTTTTGGGGGCTCCGATCCGGATGGGTACGGAGCTAGGCTGCCCTGCAGGGGCAGCTGAAGGTAGGGGGGATCCGGAGAGGGGTTTGGGGGTGTTGCAGACCCCCTCCCTGGCCGGCAGAACCCCCTTTTCCCAGGATGGTGAAGCGGCGGTCCGTAATGGCCGCCACAAAGAAGCTGGCAGCCGGGTAAGAATGCGCAGGAGGAAGTGGAGAAAGTTTTTCAAAGGAGAAAGTTTTTCTTGGTTCCTAGGACTCTAAGACATATTTAACAAAATTCCTGAAAAGTATGATTTTCTGAATGATACCTTCTAGAAGAGGAAAAAAGCGGCAGTTTGATGGTGCTGAAAGGAAAGCTTACCCTCTTTTCCTACGGAATAAATAAGTGGATATTAAGAAACCTATTTCTTTTAGGTGAAAACTGGTTTTAAGCGATGAGTGGGAAGAGAGAGGACTAAAAAAAAAATATTTGTATGCTAAGACTTTGTTGGAGGAGATGCCTTGATTTGAAGACTAAAATATATTGCAATAAGATTTTAAGAAATAGATTTGGACTTTCTTTTTCTTTGATTGATACTACCCCAGGAGGAGAAAGTGAGAACTCTGCCTTGGTTTGGACTGATTGATAATTTTGGGACTGTTTTATTTTTTCTTTGAAATATTCTGGTTGTTGTAAGAAGAAAGAAGGGGAAAAGAAAAGATTTATAATGGCTCTTTCTATTGAGGAACTGAGAAAAGATTATGAACAAGCAAAAAAAAATGGTAAATCTGGTCTGAAAGAAGCCTTCCTTTTTTTTAGAAATGGCGCTTATTAACTATCAACAAACATTACAACAGATGAAGACAGCAGAAGAAAAAGAAGGAGAGGAAGCCATTTTTAATAAATTTCAGAACTCGACCAAGAAAGAAGGAAGAGTGAAAGGAAGAGAAATAAAGGACTTAAGATTTAAAAAAACACTTAAGAAAGGGAAAAATAAGGTGCAAAATCAATATAATGATAGTAAACAAAAGGGAAAAGGAACACGACAGAGAAGGGAAGCCAGTGGGGCAGAGGCTGGAAGAAGGGGGGGTAGAAAGGTTTGCTGGGAGAAGAAAGAAAGGGAAAAGGTGGAGAAAAGCTACAAAGTTTTGAAATTAAATGGGAAAAAAGGAATTTTTTTTAGGGATAAAGGATAAAATATAATTTTTTCAAAAAGATTTTGCAAGGTACATAAGATGATATTGTAATATGGTATTAGAAATAGTAAACTTAAATGGTTTAAGAGTTGATAAGAGATTAAAATGTTGAAATGTTTAATAATGATTGGTTTTAAAATTTAATAATATGATGGGAGGTTTAGAATATTGAGTTTTAATTAAAGAGTTTAATAAGATTATGGTATTGATGTTATTATAAAATTTCTACTATAGTATTTGTTTTTAATATTTAGATTTATTGTTTAACTATATATTTAATTACTTTGGATGTACTATTTAGATAGAATGTACCAAGCAAAATCGGATTGGGTATTGGGCGTTATTTTAAAGGTTAATTTGATTAATTTAGGGGGGAGATAGAAAGGCATCATACTCTGATTAGTGATTTCAGGAGAAACTTCTTTTTTTTTATATAAGGAACGAGACAAAGGGACAATAAAGAATGGACAAAAGATACAAATATAATGACTCAAATTAAGATGATTAATTAAGATAGAATTAAAAAGAGTGAAATATGTGGAGAAGTTAATATAGAAAGCTTAGAATGGTAAATAAAATAAGTAATGATATGTAAGATGAGCATGAATATAATTGAAGTCCATGAAGAGAGAGATACCTGGGTCCAAGTTACTTTCCAAAAAGATTTTTTTTTATGTTTTATGTGTTGTGTGTATATGTTTTTTTTTTTTGGGAGAATTAATAAAACCTTGCAGAAATATAGAATGAGAATAATGGTAACTAAGTCAGAAAGAAATAGATGAAATAATAATAATGAAATTGAATAAGAGTAAAGAGAAGTAAAGAGAAATTGGACAAGAGGTTTTTTGTATGTTTATATGGAAATGGTTTAAAACAGAATTATAGCTTATCTGACTTGTTAAATTTATAATGGAAAAAGGTTTAAACATGTAATGGATAATGATTTGTGTGTTTTGAAAACTAATAAAACTTGTTTTTTTTAAAAAAAAATACAGTGCAAAAACACAAAAATCCAACAGCGACTGTGCAAAAGTGCCAATATCCTAGGCAGCACAACCCAAAATCTCTCTAGAAGAGTTTTAGTTTCTTCCACAAAGCGCTGAGGCTTGGGGCTGGTTCAGTGGTGGGATTCAAAAAAAATTTTTATTACTGGTTCTGTGAGCGTGGCTTGGTGGGTGTGGCAGGGGAAGGATACTGTAAAATCTCCAGTCAGAGGTGGTATTTGCCGGTTTTCCGAACTACTCAAAATTTCCGCTACCGGTTCTCCATAACTGGTCAGAACCTGCTGAATACCCACCTCTGGGCTGGTTTAACCTCAAGTTTTAGGTGCTGCTACTGAGAAACAGCTGGATAACCATTTGTCTGAAATGGTATAGGGTTTCCTGCCTAAGCAGGAGGTTGGACTAGAAGCCACCTCTTGTTCCACCTCTTGTTGTTCTGTACAGTGCCATTGGGGATCAGCCTCCATGACCTGTAAACGGGAAATGAGCTGCTTCTCTTGACACAAACACAATGTTAAGGTTGATTTCAGTGGGTGGGGGAAGCACCAAGGCTTTGTAGATTAAAACCAGCACTTTAAATTGCACACCAAACTAAATACAGTGATGACTGATAGCGAACATCCAGGCCACAACATTTGGTACCAACTAAAGTTTCCTGATGAGCAGCCCCACATAACACATACTACAATAGTTTAAATTGCAGTGACAAGGGCAACAGTCGTAGTTCTGTCAGGGTTCCGATGCCCTAATTAATCATGAGCCTCGAACCAAGACAAGTTACAAGGTCCTCTTGTCTCAGGGATACCCTGAAGTGATGCTTTGAAGTTACTACTCCCCCTTTTGTTTTTGCCTGAGTTGTGTTGGAGTGATTGCTGTGCAAAGTTCCTCATGAGAATTTCATTGCTCACGTATAAAGAAGAGGCTTTGAAATAGTTTGCTTTGAAATGTTTCCAGATAGAAGCTAAGTCAGAACACTCCTACTGTTGGTGCATTTAATTGGGTATGAAGGTTATATCAAGATGCAAATGCCAGCTTCTAACTGTGTTTGCTTTATTCCAGCCATATCCAAGTATGAAACCTTTGGATTTAAAGTTGCCGTGATTTCTTCCATTGTGAGCTGTGCCATTATACTCCTGATGTCGATGGCTTTTGTAACCTGTTGTCTTATCAAGTGTATTAAGAAAAGTGAAAGAAGAAGGGCTCAAAGGTGAATCATATTTCTGGGTTTAGGCTGTTAATTGAAGTGGCTGTAAGATACAGCTGTTGCTCTACTTCTGCTTTTCTCTTAGTAACTGCTCATTTCCTGCTCCTGGCTGCAAATATAAACAGGAAGGTTCTGTATGTTCCATATGACCGCATCTGCCTTTTTAAAATAGAATTTATAGAAATACTCTTTGGTGTTTCTTTAGTTTTAGTTTAACTTTACAACAGTAAATCTATGAGGTTGAGTCTGGCAGAGAGCAGGGAATAATCTAGGAAAGTCTGTGGTCAAGTAAGAACTTATATCTCTTATATCAAGTAAGAACTATATCTCTCAGCCTCAGTCCAGCACTTAAGCATTGGCATTAAGCCATTAAAGTGGCATTAGGGTAGGAGAGTCACCATTCATGCATTTCCTCCTTCAAATCTAGGGAATGAAATTATCTTCCCTCTGGGCAACTGTTGTCTTGATACTGCGACTTTTCTCCTTTTTTTAATTTGTCAGAATTGTTCTGGAGTTGGGCAACCCTAGAATGTGCCCAATATATTACATACATACATGCAAATATACATACATACATAACATATATACAGTACATATTTATGAATGTTTTCCAACTACAATAATGCCTTATCATCACCCATGTTTACTGATATTTTTTTTAGCAAAAATACATTTTTTCTCCAAATGTTGTTAATATGATTCAAGATTAAGCTGTTCCAGGAGAGTTCTGGGCCAGCTTAATTTGAGAGACCAAGTTCACAATAATTTTTTGTTCTGCTGACTGCCAGGTTGGCAGCTTTTACAAGTCAATTAATGGAGGTGCTTGGCCATCTCTGTAGAATTTTCTAAAATGGCTTCCTCAGATTTCTGGTAAGGCAAAGACACAAACCTTTAGCCATAGGGGTTCACAATAATATGCCAAGGGAGATGAGGGGTTATTTAATTGTTAATTTAAGTACTTATGCATGCCTCTTGAATCCATTTCTCCCTTAAACCCAATCAGTCTCACAATTCCCATTCATACATAAATCCCAGTCCTTCGGTTCAATTTCCACAACAGGTACCATGCTGTTTTATTGCCGTTGTCCTCTAATGGCCATCATCTTTACCAACATTCCCTCCTCACTGTTATTGCTCCAATTGAAGGTCAAATTGGCACTGGTGCCAGTTGGTCAACCAGCTCCTGTTTTCTATTTAATCTTCCAATTTTTTTCTATCATATCCATTGGTCATTTGCATTCAATTGTGTTCCGCCCAAAATTCTCTCTGAACTTCCTGATTCACTCTCACCTTTGCTTTGAGTTCAGTGGCATTTTCCTTCAACATTCATCCTGCATATTCATTTCAAACCCAAAGATTCTTCTAGTCCAAATAATCCAGCTGCATGCCATCTTGATACCTTATCCTAATATTCTGGGAAATTGATTGTTCAGGGTTCTTTCCTATGTGGAGAGAATCCCATATATACAACTCACACATAGTGTACTGCAATTATTCAGAATTTCAGATGATTGTATAGAACAGAGGTCCCCAAACGTGGCAACTTTAAGACTTGCGGACTTCAACTCCAGCTGGCTGGAGAATTCTAGGAGTTGAAGTCCACAAGTCTTAAAGTTGCCACGTTTGGGGACCCCTGATATAGAAAGATAGAATCAGGGGCAATGGGCACAATCTTGCATTTGCAATGAAGATGAAAAGGGACCTTCCACTAAATTGGAGAAAAGGTCAGTCTTTTCATCACGCCTTTCTTAGCTTATTTAAGTTATATTGCATAAGGCCAGCATCATATAAAAGAGAGAGGTTAATGGGGGAGGGACTCATGACAGGCATGTGAATTGCAGAGACTGTCAGCCATCTCAACGTGGTCAGCTAGAAAAGAAAGACTCTCAAATCCATTGTTCAAAAAAGTACACTTTACTAAAGCCAACTGGTTACAAAGTAGAAAAGGTGGATCTGAGGTTTTGTGGCCAAAACATCTGGTTAACTCTTCCATTCTCTCTCCCCCCCCCCCCCCCGGTTATCTTAAACTTTCCAATTACATTCAAACCAATTGTTTTGGCAACGTCCCTGGCTTGGCAGGCTGGATGGTCTCACTTTCCATTCCATGACCTTGAAGTGGCCAGTGGCTCCCATGGGACTCCCAAAGGGAAGTTCCGACTCCCTTCATCCCAATGCCCCTTTACCTCCCCTCAGCTCCCTCCCCCCATTGCTTATGGCAGACTGGCATCTGGCAAAGTATGGCTGGTGTAGCAGGATGACAGTCTTGACAGAGACTTGATGTGATTTGCTATTTCAGATGCTGGACACATTTGCACAGTACACATCTGCTGTGATCTGTTGCAGATGATAACATGGCCTCTTTTTACAGGGATATGCAGTTCTGGTACCAGCTCAGAAGTGAAGAGCTAGAAAATATGCAAGCAGCGTACTTTGGTTTGAAAGGCAGGAACAACAACAACAACAACAAAAATATTAAAACCCAGGCGGAGTCTGATGGTGGTAGTAATGTGGCGTATGACAACCAAGGCTTCTGCAGGTAAGGAAGAGACCAATTGGTATTGTGCTGCATTTCCTGAGCAGTTTTTACAGGTGACTGGACAATCTACTTATCACACACATCTCAGCACTCTTTGTCATTTTTGTGTACAGCTCCATCTTGCAGAGTGCCTAAAAATGACTCTGTCATTCAAAGCTCTGTTGAATGTTCTGTTTTCCATACAAAACTATATTGTAAAATAAGCCTCTAGATCATTCTCAGAGTTGCTCCTTCAAGCCTTCTCTGCATTCCTTCCTCTAATTTAAAATGCACCACTGTAGTTATACTGTGTAGTTTTATTTATGATAATGCTACATAAGCTATAAAAGTTAAACTGCATCTCCAGTCACTCTGCAGATCAAAAATCAAGCTGCATATTATGCAGAGTGCATGGCATGTTAGTTTATCTTCCACATTTAATTTCATCCTTCCAGGAATGAAAGAAATGGAGAACGACCAACGTAGAAAATACTCAGCCTCTTTATTTGTCTGTGTAACAGCCAGTTGATGGTTAGTTTTCCTGCAGGGTATGTAATTATGGACCAAGAAGTTGTTCCATGCACACCAAAGATCATGGCATCAAACAGGAATAGGACCAAATTCACAGAGTTATTTGGATGATGGGGGAAAAAATAATCCAGTTTGATATTATCAGCTTTAGTGTTTTTCACTAGTGGTCCCAGGAGTATGACTCCCTTCCCATCATGCTGTAATAGGATAAAAAACCTATATCTCCCTTATCTTTAATTATACCTTTAAAATGATGTGAAGCTACAAGTTATGCATTAAATATAAATGTAATGTTTAACCCTAAACAAAGCCATCTGATGATTTGCCTTTGAAAGTAATCTTAGGCTGTTTGTAGTGTATCTGTTACTTAGCTAAATAAAAGTTCTCACGATTGGTAAAATGATTCCATTTTTTAAAAAATGCTAAATATAAATAAAGGAACTGCTTCACTGCTGAAATTGTGCTGGGAAATTAAAACCCATTTTTGCTATTCCACCAAGATTGTTCCCTTTTAGAGAATCCAAAATCTAACACAGGTGCAATCCCCCCCCCCCCATATAGGAATGGAAATGTAACAGGACAAACTTTGCAAGAATTTTGTCTGTAACTACTTTATGCCACTTTGTCTCTACTTTGGAAGAAATCTGTTTAAAACTGAGCTGCATTAGCTGCTCCATCTTGCTTCTGATAATGGGAAAAGTTCTTGCTGCGGCACCCTTAATTTGTGAAGGTATTACTGCCGTTTTTCGCTGCTAGAGATAGAAAGAAAGCTAAGTGTAAAATGGCTGCTGTGCCTTGCAGTAACTTGCAAAGGTCAGAGCAGATAATATAATAATCTCCTGCTCCTGCTGTACGGCTATCCGAGTCTCCCTAAGAAGCCACTCCTATGTACCCCATTAGTTACTCCTGCCTTGTACTAGATCAGTTGGAGGATTTCCAGCATTCAATTATTCCTGCTGTAGTTTCCAGTCTACCCACCACTGGGCCAGAAATTGCCCTTGTAGAAGGACAAAGGAATCTCCTTATGGCCTCATTAATACCACTTTAGCTCCATAGGAAACAGTTTTATGCCATATCCAGCTCTTTATCCATCTAACCCAGCCTTGTCTCCACTAACCAGCAACACCAGTCTTTCTTATTCCTATCTAGCCTATCAATTCAAGGTGCCAGGGATTGAATTTATGATCTTCCCAAGGGGCAAACGAAATATTGTTTTACACTTACTTTTATTATCTGAGTTATAATGTACATTTCTAGTATAGTATATACCCTTTAGTAATAATCAATACCTTTATTTTTATCCGTTTTTTGCCTGGTAGTGGTACCTTGCAAAATCATTGTTACTAACAGCTCAAGGCAGTTCTTCAGATGTCTTTTCAGAATTCCTAGAAGGTCTGAGATACTGATTTTTTTAAGTCTTCCAAATACAGGTTGCCCTTGACTTACAACCACAACAGAGCCCAGAATTTTGATCCTAAGTCATAATGGTTGTTAGTGTAAGTGAGTCACTGTGTGAGCTGACTCAATTTTATAACTGTTTCTATGACAACCATTAAGTGAATCACAATGTCAAGGTTCCAAGTAATAGGTCCCCAGAATAAAAATCTAAGGTGTCCATTTTTCATCAAAGTCTATTTATTAGGACAGGAATCTTCAAACTCGACAGCTTTAAGACTTGTGGACTTCAACTCCCAGAATTCCTCCTCCAGTCATGTTAGCTCAGGAGTTCTGGGAGTTGAAGTCCACAAGTCTTAAACTTGCCAAGTTTGAAGATCCCTGTGTTAGGAACATATCAAATTTGCAAGACCTTGGTGTAATTCCGGCTCTGACCAGACCTTGTAATTACACCCATTAAAAGCAAAAGTTTGAAACTCCCCCCCCACCCAGTCACATTCTCCAATCAGCACACAGTCCCTCGGTCCGATGACTCCAAACTGCTCCTTCCGCCAGCTGCAGGCACCTTCTCAATTCCCATGGGAAAGAATGCCAACTAGCCATAACATTCCCCCTTATCTCTACAACCCCCCTTCCTTCCTGCTGCTAGAATGTGGTGAGCCTGAAGCACCGTTAAAATCCTTAGCAGAAACCCTAAAGAAAGTTAAGAAAAAAGAATAGACAAAGGCTACAATAAAATATGGCTGCACAGATGTCAACTTCAGGGTCGACCCATAAGTCATTAAGCAAACCATGTGGTCATTAAGCAAATCTTGAATATGCCAATGGGTGGGGTTTTTTGCCACTTTCTGCTGGAAAATGGTTAAAAAGTCACAAATCACAGTCACGTGACCACAAGACACTGCAACCAGTCATAAGAGATTAAGAGCAAGCTGAGTGTGTGAGCTGTCTATCACTTACCACTTTGCTTGGCATATGATTGCTACTTTCTCCAATGAATGTCTGGCATATGATAGCAACAGTGACAAAGTATATCATCTCAAAGGAGTAGCATATGTGGCGCAGTGATTAGAGTGCAGTACTGCAAGCTACTTCTGCTGCAGCCAGCTGCCTACAATTTGGCAGTTCAAATCCCACAAGGCTCAAGGTTGACTCAGCCTTCCATCCTTCCGAGGTGGGTAAAATGAGGACCCAAATTGTTGGGGGCAATATGCTGACTCTGTAAACCACCTAGAGAGGGCTGTAAAGCACAATAAAGCGATATATAAGTGCTATTGCTATATGTCCATTCCTCTCTGCTAGCTGCTTCCTGCTGACTTTAATCCCAAAGTTTTTATGGTGGTGTAATGATCCCAGGACTATGGGGGCTGATTTTTTTTAAGCCAACTTGAGCCATTTAACCAATTAAAAAGGAATGGGCAGTCAGTAGAATCCCCAAGCTATGAATGGGCCCAGAATGTGACTAAACTCAAGAGAGTGAGACTGAAACTGGTGTTAAAACAGAGCCTTCCATCTTAACTTTAGGGTTAGTTTGGTTTATTTTATTGATCAGTCTCATGAGCTGCCCTAAGGATACCTTTGTCCCATGAACCAAAGCAAACAACATGCATTTTTTTTACTATATCTATTTCAGTAACACTGAAGAATTGTATATGGCACTCTCTCTATATCAATTGATATATTGCAATTGGTCCACTGGATTATGTGGAAAACGAACCTTGAAGCTGACAAATGAGATGCCAGTTTTGTGTGTCACTTAAGGGATATTGTATAATGAATTAGATAGAGTCAAATGATCCCAACACATAAATTGCTGTTAACAGTAAAGAGGAATGGCAGTAAAGAGGAATGATTGGAGTAAGAGCAATCTCAAAAAGGCCCATCATGTATAATGTAAGAAATCCAATTGGAAGACAATAAATTAGATGTCATTTTTGCACACTATTTCCTACATTCTTGTCCTCACACAACAATTGCTGTTTTTTTTTAACATAGTTATGCCTCTCTAAGCTAAGACAATGTGCCAAATAGCTAAATGCTCTGGAAACCTGTGCCAAGCTTTTATCCACCAAGGGCAATTCCTTTATTTATTCTGAAGAGAAAGAAGCTGTCAACTTTGAACATTAGACATTCCTCACATTTATCTTAATTTGCTTTAACAAACAGATAAAAGTTTCTTTTCCACTACTTGGATGTTCTTACAGCATCCTGCAAAGCAATGCCTTTTTTTAAAAAACATTGGGCCAAATACATCAGTAGCTTAAATGCTTTGCAATTGAAATCCTGTATGCTCAGAACAGGAATGTGTTTTTCAGATCCAAATAAACCTATTGCATGGATTCTTTTTTACATATGCTCTTTCTTTGTGAATTAATTTACAAATTCATGTGCAAGAAATTAATTTAAACCCTTTTTCTCAAATACTTGCCCACCCTTTTGTTACTACTACGTGATTTGGCTACCTTTAGATGTCAACATGTGAAGGAATCTTTAGAGTTTGGCAAAAATGTTTAATGAACAAGGGGCCCCTGGAGACCAGAAACAAACAGAAGTGTTCAGAAGGCCAAAAATGAAGTTATAACAAATAATGAAGCAATGCACTTTATTAAAAAAAAACAAAGGAGGTTAATCGCTGAACATTCATTCATTCCAATCAGCAGTGTAAAAGCTAACACAGAGATCTGAAGTAGTTAATAGTAGGCTATGAAGAATGCAGTATATTCAATTAAAGGAGAGAGGGGGACAAAAAGGGAGTTCAGAGAAGGGCGGGAAATAGATGATTTCGAGAAGCAATTTACTCTAATGGAGCTCACACAGAGTAAAACTATATAGGCAGAAAAAGCAGGAAAATCAAAGTAGAAACTAAACACACCAGAAGACTTTGTGCCAAATTGGGTGAGCAGTTCAATTTAAGGCCAAAAGAGTGAGGCATGCCAGCAAGCAAATAAGTCAGTAGCTTTTGAATTCAGCATTAATGGCTCTTGCCATAGTACAAAAAGGGCAGGAGGCTTAAAGGTGTGATGTTGAAACTGTGTCCACAGCAAAGAAGACAGAAAGTGTAAAGGGACTTGTTTGTACTGGCATCACTTTTCAGG